CAACAACAATTTTAAAATAAGTATAAAAAATACAAACCCGAAACAATGTAGGCCTGACAACAATGGTTGCTGCTTCTTTTTACTTTTTTTTTGGTTGTATTTTGACAACCTTTGATTTTGATGTTTTGCCAGAATCTTTGTTTGAATCCTTCTGAAGATTCATAGGATCATGCAAATTTTTTTTTTCTATTTTCTTTCCAATTTTCATCGTCGGAATCATATATCTTTCTATTAATTAACGGATCCATTACTATGATGTAAGAACAATTAACCAAAACAAAAAAAAGGAAGAAAAGAACAACTGATGATGGAGTAATAAGAAAAGGAAAAAACCAATAACAGATGCTGAGTTAAGAAGAACAAAGACGATGATGGAGTAAGAAGAACTGAAGACGTCATGGAGTAAGAAGAACAATAAAAACGGGAGAGCAATTATCCAGTTTTTAGAAATTTCAAATTTTCTGAATTTTGAAATTCAATATTTCAAAATTGGGTGTTTTAATTAAAATTAATAATTAAAAATCCAAAAACTGATTTAGAAGATCGAGTGTTTTAGTAGAAAAAATAGGCATTATATTGGGGAATTGTGTATTATAGGAGAGAGAATGTTATGTATCTATATACTTTTACTAAAATTAAAAAAAGGAAATTATGTAATATTTAAAAAAAGAAGGGAAAATTAGAGAATACAAAACTTATTGTTGTGTATTTAAGTTATTTTTCCTTTTTTGTATTTGATTTTTCAGCTTAATGGGCTAAAAATAGTTATATCAAAGAAGTGTCTTTACTTTTTATTTTTTTATATTAAATTATAATATTTATTATTTAACATTAAAAATTAATATAATATATTTTAGTGAACCAAAATATTGAATAACACAAAATTATATACCGAAAATCAAATCGAAATATCAAAAAATACAAAAACGTATATCGAATATCAAATCAATAACCAAAAAATCAAAAATAAAAAAAATTTAGTTTAAAACAACAAACATTTTTTTGTGAGAAACTCACTTGAAACAACAAAGCCATAAACAATACTACTATTTTACTAAGAAATTATTTAAAATATTAATATTTTAGCATATGATAGAATTCCTTAGCCATATTTTTAATATTTATAAAAAATGTCAAACATTTGAATTTGTTATAAATCTATTTTTTTTAATTTGAAAGAATACAATTATTCAATATTAGCTATTAAAGGTCCATTCTTTCAAACTTTGGAATAATGTAGTGCTACTGTTTTATGCTTAATTTATTGTTTTGGGTAAATAATTGAGGTGTGATTGGGGACAACAAGCGTGCTGTTTTCTAAAATTTATTCTCACACGGAAAATAAATTGTATATAAAATTAGTGGTGACACATGTGAGAGTATATTTTTGAAATTGAATTTAGATACAAATTTATTGATGTGATATTGTACGTTGAATAATCAAAATATAAATTAGTTTGGAATACAAACTCGATGATATTATATATTGAATGATTTAAAATATAATTTTGATGATGAGATTTTAATTTTATATTAAATTGTGATTTTATATATTAAATCATTGGAATACAAATTTGTTCAACAGTAGAAAATAACTTTTAGAATACAGTTTTTGAAATACACAAGAATTTGGAATATTAATCAGTTTAAAATATAACTATAGTTTAAATTAGAAGTTAAAAATAAAAGTGAATAATGAATTTGCCGAACAATTATATTAGGGAACGACTTTTAGAGTACATTTTTGAAATGCAACTTTCGAAATACAAAATCCAGTTTAGAACATAATTTTTTAACTTTGTTTAATCAAAAGTTCAATATAAAATTACACGAGTACAAATAAATGATATACAACATACAAAATACATTTATTTTAAAATACAAATATAATTGATAATTGAATTAAAACATACAAAATAAATTATTTGAATACACATAGATATGCTCTAATAAATTCTTGATGAATACAATTAAAGTATAAAAACTAAACATACATAGTAGTATGGATACAAATTTAAATAAGAATATATATAATTTAATTTGCTTATATTTTCTTTTAAATAAATACAATGTTCTGAAATTATAATTGACATGAAAAAATAAAATTGGATTAAATAGTACTGAGATTAATAATAATATAAATTCAAAAAAAAATGACTTTAAAAATAAAACACAAAAATACATAAAAGACCTAATTAAATACAAATCAAAACTAAAAAATGATGATGAATAGAGAGAGAAAGTGGATTAGAGGGAGTGAAAATAGGATATATTTTATAAACACTTGACACCTCTGCCTGGTTCAATATTTGTTATTTTTTGTTCTATTTTTTGTGATATAAATAAAATTTAAAGTTATTAATTTTTGTAATTTATAGTATTTTTACTTAATTTTAAATAATATGTGTTATTTTCTTTGTCCCAATATATGTGGCACAAATAAAATTTCAAAAGTCAATATGTTGTTAATTATAGCGTGAAACCATACATGTGAAGCAGACATGTTTGCTGTCTCGTGTGTTGTTGAATTGAATAACTAAAATATGAATAAGAAATATATTTACGTATATGAAATGTCAAAAGTCTTGAATCAATAAGTAAGTTGAAATGAACTAAAGACCTCCACTAATTAAAACACAAATTTTCAAGAAGAAAATCTCGTAAATCAATTAGTAGATGTAGAGGTCTTTAATTATCAAAAATAATACTCTCTCTGTCCACTATTAATTGTTATACTTTTCATTTTTAAAGTCAAGTTATAAAAACTTTGACTAACATTTTTTGCAATATAGTTTTTGAGTATCTAAATTTTTTGTTTAAAATATCAAATTAATATAATATAATTTAACTTTGAAAATTAATCAAATTGATTTTCGAAAAATGTAATATAACAAATAGAAAAGCTGAAATTAAAATAAAAAATAAAAAATGATGTTAACGAGGTTTTTGATAACCCTAGACCTTCGGGTTGAAATACCAAGCCTAATCCAGTAGGCCAAATAGCTGGTTATATATAACTAAGCACACAGTTGAACTACATATGTTGACCATTAGTTGTGTGCTTATTGTCTTTTATAAATAGATAGTAGATATGTTTTACAACAGATGAGAAAGATAACTGAATATGAGAAATAATGATAGAAAAACTTGAAATGTGGGTTTAATGTGAGATAAATTAGAAACTAGTCTAAGGTACATTACATTTGTTAAATAGTGAGACATTTTTAATAATTATTTTAAAATATATATAATTTTTTAATATTTATATTTGAAATTTTGATTAATTAACTAATTTTTCCTATTTTATTGTTAAAAAGGCTAATGTTATGTAGAGTACCAAATTAACAAAACAAATATGTTCAGTAACATATTTGCAATTGGCACAGCCCACAATTACATGTGCCTAAGGCCTAGAAATGAGCAAGTTGGACCATCCGATGAAAGACTGCGAAGCCCATGCATCTTCAAAGTACATGACCCATTGCCAATGATCATAATTTATAGGAAAAATAACTTAAATACACAACTATAAATTTTATATTCTCTAATTTTCTCCCTTTTTTAAAAAAAATATTACATAATTCCCTTTTTTTTTTTAATTTTAGTATAAGTTTATAGATATATAACATTCTCTCTCCTATAATACACAATTACCCATTTTAATGCCTATTTTTTCTCCATTAAAACACTCAACCTTTTAAATCAGTTTTTGAATTTTGAATTTTCTCCATTAAAACACTCAACCTTTTAAATCAGTTTTTGGATTTTGAATTATTAATTTTAATTAATTTTAATTAAAATACCCAATTTTGAAATTTTGAATTTCAAAATTCAAAATATTTGAAATTTCAAAAATTTGGACAATTTCTCTCCCATTCAGTTCTTACTCCATTACGTTCTTCTTTCTCCATAATCGTCTTTCTTCTTCTTAACCCAGCATATTTTATTAGTTTCTTCTTTTTCTTCTTAATCCATCATCGTTTTAACCCAACATCTTTTTCTTCTTAATCCATCATCAGTTCTTCTTTTCTTTCCTTTTTTGTTTTTGTTAATTGTTCTATTACATCATAGTAATGGATCCGTTAATTAATAGAAAGATATATGATTCCGACGATGAAAATTGGAAAGAAAATAGAAAAAAGTCTTTGCATGATCCTATGAATCTTCAGAAGGATTCAAACAAAGACTCTGGCGAAACATCAAAATCAAAGGTTGTCAAAATACAACAACAACAAAAAAAAGCAGCAAACATTGTTGTTAGGCCTACATTGTCTCGGGTTAGTATTTTGATACTTAAAACTGTTGTTGAAATTAGTAAAAATTTTAAGGAATCCAATATGTATCAAAAAATCATGAAAATTATTATCATGTATCATGAAGTTCTGAAAATTGTTATAATGTATCATTCAATAAGTTTAATAACTGCGTTATCAACTATGCTTGATGATACATATAGAATCGGTGTGTATAGTGTTTAGTCGATGTACTGATAGATGTATCAGATATGTACCACATGTTATAATGTTTAGTCAATGCACTGATACATGTAGTAGATATGTATCACATGTTTTTTCATGTAGTATGAATTTTCTGAAAACTGATATCATGTATCAGGGTATTAGTTGTTTAGTTGATGTACTGATACATGCTTGATGATACATGTATTAGATATGTATCACAATGTATCAATCAGTACATCAACTAAACAACTAATACCTTCTACAATTTATCGAATTTCAATTTCTTTCCTTGATACATCAATATCCAACTCGGCTGCAATTGCTGCTTTGAGATTAGAAAACGAAATTGAATCTCCAACAACGATTCTGTCGATTTTGTAACTTTCATAATGCAATTCGTTCACCCAAATTTCGGAATGTCTCATCAAAATTGAAGTATTCATCTTCAAAAATCCACAGTAACAACAATAAAATTACCGTAGTTCGAAATTTAACAGTTTGTTCATAAAAAATGTATTCAAAATAGATGATATAATCTTTGATTTTCAAAATTTGAGATTAATATCCAATTACGTGCTGAATTTATGCTGATTAATGATCTGTTACCGTAAATTAAGCTGTTTTAGTAACAACATTAAATGTAGCATTTTTTTCCCATTTTTTTCTCAACAGTTTAAACTTACCATGTATCATTTACCATGTATCACTAGAGTCTAAAGTATCACGGCACAACAAATTTAAGGGATTTTTTGTAAATACTAAATTTATCGGGATAGAGTATAATTATTGAATTACACTATGGGATTCCTTAAATTTTTACTAATTTATAAGGAAAATTATATATAATGACAAATTAATAAATTAAATTAATTATTATAATTATTTTTTAATTTAATTGTGCCCTGTAGCTAAACTGTTTGTCAGTCATCTCTCTCTTAAGCTCTAGCTTGCCACTCTCCTCTCACTCCATCTCTCGCTCGCTTCCTCTCATTTTTATACAAATACAAGTGTATAAAATCTGTTTCTATTTAAATAAAGCGAGAGGAAATTGTATAAATATATATATTTTTGTTCCCCTCTCTCCCCTTTCCCAGATCACGCTCGCCACTCTCCCTAGTCTAGCTCGTCACCCGCGCCTCTCTCGTTTATACAAACAAAAATGAAATGTATAAATTGTGTTTCTGTTTGTATAAAGCGAGAGAAAATTATATATACACATGCAAATATCTATATATATTCGTCCTATACACTTATAATTATACAATAAAAATATTTCCTTGCGTAGTTTCTTTTGTTTTCTTTCTTTCTCGTTTTATACAAATTCAAATTGTATATAATTTATCTCTTTCTCGTGATTCAATTGTATATTTCTTTTCCAAGTCTCTTTTGCCTCTCTCTTTCTCATTTTATACAAATTCAAATTGTATATAATCGTTCTATACACTTATGATTATACAATTCGTTTTATATAATCTCTGCCCAAGTCTCTTTCTCTTTCTCGTTTTATACACTTCATTTTATACAATTCGCTTCAATTGTATATATATAGCGAATTATACATATATATGTTTCTATGAAGTGCAATTATGCAAACTTTGCTATAACATACATATATTTATTTTATATTTGTTATATATGTGAAAGTTTCCCTAATTTCTACTATACTCTTGTTCGCTTCAATTTGTTTCTTTGGAACAATTCTTTAGTTTTGACTTTTCACACTACATATATATAAATTACAACATTAAAATATATTTTTATTTATTCTATGTATCTTTAAAATATTTATGATAGTTCAAGAAACTATATGATTGAAATTAGCATTCCTTGAATACATATGCATTACAGAAAATAGTACATGTTAAAAAACCAGCCAAAAGGCTTCATATTAAACACATCCCTTTCCCTCCCTGAGAACAATTATTTAATCTTCCTTTATAACATCAATCTCTTCCATGTAAAACCTAGTTCTCTTTTATTTCACAGTGATTACTAAATCATATGCCAATCCACTCAGACAAAGTAGAATCCCAATTACAAAATGACCATTATATATATATATATATATAGGGGTAAACAGTTTCACTTTTTTGGTCCTTAGGAGTTGAATAAATCACTTGGTGAATTCCATAATCCAAGTGTTGTAAGCACAAGAAGCCTTGGTGAATCCATTAAATCCAGCCCCTTTAGCCAAAGCCTCAAATTCTTTCTCAGTCCTTTCTTTGCCTCCTGGATTATGTGCTAACATTATTACATCAACATGTACTGTATTCTTTGTGGAACTTGATGTATCTGGCACCTCTGGAAGTAAGCATTCTGCAATTATCACTTTCCCATTTGCAGGAACCGCTTCGTAGCAATTCTTCAAAAACTTTAAACAATGCTCATCGCTCCAATCATGACATATCCACTGCATCGCATGCATATATTCAATATTTTACTATCTTACAAGTTTTTCAAAAGCACAAACTCAAATCTGTATCCATTACCTTCATGAAAATAGCATCCGCTTTCGGCACACTAACAAACATGTCACCACCAATGTGTTCAACGCCTAAATAAAATTTAGGAAAAGTTAATTTCTCTGTGTATTTATAATCAACGATAAATGTGGAAACAAACAACTAATTAAATCATAATTAAGTTACCAGGGTAAGCTGGGGCATCTTCAATAACATGTGGTAAATCAAAGTTAATGCCCTTAATAGAGGGATACTTAGAGACAATCATGCTTACAGTAGCCCCTGTTCCACCACCAACATCAACAATGGAGTTGAGTCCTTCAAATCCTTTATAGTCTTCCAGAATCTTCTTGATGGATAAGGTGGTGTGATCGGACATTCCACGGTTGAAAACTTTGTTGAATCTTGGATCTGTTCCATGGTACTCGAATGCTGTCATTCCATATGCCTTGTTGAATGGGATTCCACCATCAAGTACTGCATCTTTTAAGTGGTACCTGTAATAGAAAAAAAATTATACTACTCCATTCAAGTAATAACTGATTAATCCAATTAACTCTAATATCTAGGGCTCCAACTGTTGAAGAAAAACGAAGCTAACTATTGAAAATGTAAAAGGAATAGGTCAAACTGACGTATCTGTAGCAATTGCTGATAAAGAAGAAAACTGATGATTGAAACAGTTCAAAGAAACAAGTCCAATGAAGCAGACCGACGAGTTCACATCACTGCTGCTAATGCGACTCTAATTCTATAGCGGTGATGTAAACTCGTCTGCTTCGTTGGACCTATTCCTTTGACATGTTTCAATCATCAGCTTCCTTCCTCATCAACACTTGCTACAGACACGTCAGTCAACTGCGTTGGACATGTTCTTTTAACATGCTGTAATTGTCAGTTTTCTTTTTCTTCTAACACAAACAATCGTAGCACAACTATATAATAATAAAATTTAGTGACCATACCTGAAATTCAAACTCAGAAGACTAATGGTTGTAGTTAGAGGAGTAGGTGACTTAACTTCTGTTGTTTCCATTACATCAACTAATTGTAGAAAAATAAGTAATTTCTTCGTTTTAAAAAGAATGACCTCTTTTTTTTTTAGTTTATTATTAAAAAAATGAAATTTTTCTTTTTTTGGGAATAACTTTTCAAGTGTCAGACCACAAAATTAAAGAGCAATTTTATACATTTGACATAACTTTAATTTAGAATCACATGATTAAAAATATTTTTTACTTTTTTAAATTTCGTGCCAAACAATCATTACTGGGACTACTTTTAAAGCAGAGATATAGGTGGTTCCATATGATTTCTTTTATTTTTTATGTTTGGTGGCCTATCTTATCTCAAAGAGACACCAAAATTCACAATACCTTCTTTTTCCAATTTCCACACATACAATAAAAAAAGAAAAAATTTACACATAATACACTATTTCTCATCAATTGTTTGTTGTTATGTCAATGGGTAGAATAGAATCAATCTGTTGAATTACACGATAAAGTTCCAATAAGGGGTTGGTCATACGTGTCAACATGATAAAGACTCAAAACCTACTTTAATTCACATCTAAAAAAGGTTTAGCTATGGGACAAACCACAGTTATTGTCTCAATGTTTGAATTTTTTTCATTTAACTTTATATGAAGCATCAAAAGTAGACTTATTACTGAATTTTTTAAATTTCAAACTAACGAATGTATCTAAATATATTTTAATTTTATCATTTTAAAATAGTTATAAAAAACTACAATTAAAAAAAGACTAGAAAGATGAGAAACAAAAAAAAATAGGTGTGTGTGGAAATTAAGTTCACAATATTGAAAACACTCCTAATGACGATAAATTATAAATTTAATCATCTAATTATTAACAGTCTCGAATAAACCCCTATACTTAGTTGAGTAATTTAAAAACACGCCTCTCATGCTACCATGTCATCCACTATACGCATATGTGAAATTTTATGCTAATATAATATTCACATAGATATATATAGTAAAAAGAAGATACAAATAAATTAAATGCGTAAAGAAGACTGTTTTTAAAAAAATTCAATTTTTTCCCTTACCTCACCCAATCCCCAACCCCACCCACGCACCCCTCATCCACCAAATTTTTAAAAATCTTTTGTTAAAATTTTTTTTATCCAGCACCACCGAGACCCCATCCACACCTATCCTTTTTTTTAAAAAAATCTTTGTTTATCCAACATCACTAACATTATGTTTGGATTATTATTATCCATTATATTATATTTTATCATTATTGTGTTTATTATGACTATTACTTAAAGTGTATATTGTTGTATTTTTAAATTTTATTGGTTACGTAATAATGAAACTCCTATTTAATAGAACAACCGATTTGATGTGTTTCTATTGTTACTTAATTTCTATTTTCAATTATATATTATATAATATTTCAAAATATTATTTTACCCTTTTACATTAATTATTTAAATTTAGTAAACCTTCTACACTAAAACAATTAAGGATAAATTTATAAATTAAAATATAATATGATATAATTTACCATACAATACAGTAAAATATATTATAAAATAATAGATAACAATGATAAAAATAAAATATATTTTCTTTCCCTATCCTACCCCCTATCTCCTCCACTAGCGGCAAAGAGTAATTTTTTTTAGTTTGTGAGGTGTGAGGTTGAGGTATTGGGTCAAGAAAAATAAATGTAAAAAATAAGTTAGTTGATAAGAATATATTAAGCTTTTAAGAAATGAATGATAAAAAGGGAATTTACCAGCTCTGCATGAGTACTTTATCTTGATTCATAAGCAAAAGTGGGGCAACGGAAACACCATCGGCATTCTTAGTCAAGAACTTACAAACCGGAGCAAGACTATAAAGCCGCTCTACACGTCCATCAGGGAGTGTCCTGAGTGTACAATTCAGAACAGAGTAAGCAGCAAGAAGCCTAAGCATTCGATCCAGCATTACCGGTGCATCTGGGTTCTTACAAGGGAGTTGAGACGCTAGCTCAGCAGGCGAAATGGATGCACCTGGACCAGCCTTAGCCATAAGTTCCAGAAGCTCAAGTTCTACAGCTGATTTTAAGACCATGGGTAGTACAGAGGCACTCGCCAGTTGCATAGCGAACAAGAAAGCTTCATCCTCTGTTTGAGTTAGGCTTGTTGAACCCATCTTTTTGAAATTGAATTGAACAAATACAAGAAAAATGATGTGCAGAATTAGAGGAATCTGTGTTGCATTTTATATCGTTATATTTTGTTCACCAAACCCCAAATTTGGTGGAGGTGTTGGCCTACAATTTGACCCCACACCGCACCACTAAGAATTAGTCATCCGTTGTGAGTTGAGATACCAATTTGACGTAGAAATGAAGTGAGCAACCACTCACTCAATTCACCTTACACGTTCACGATTCCATCGCCAATTTAAATTTTATGATTTTTTATTAAGTTTTTTTTTAAAAAAAATAAAGTTCATATTTAATATTACATAAGGAAATGAAATATTTATTTTTTTAAGGCAACTTTCACGTATAGCAAACAAAAAATTTATGTTTGTATGTTATAGCAAAGTTTGCATAATTGTGCTCCATAGCAAACATAAAACTGTATAATTCGCTATACATATACAATTGTATAATTCGCTTGCCTAAATTGTATATTTCGCTGCAATTGTATAATTCGCTATCCTATTTCACTGCGATTGTATAATGCACAATTCTATAATTCGCTGCAATATTTTTATAAAAATTGCTTTGCATACAGTTGAATCGAATTAAAATGTATGTATATTGCATAATTATAAGTGTATAGCAAGAAGATATATGTTTTTCTCTCGCTTTATACAAAAACAGAAACACAATATATACACTTCTGTTGTATAAAGCTAGAGAAAATTGTATTTCACTGCAATTATATAATTCACAATTGTATAATTCGTTGGCCTTTTTCTCTGCAATATTTGAAGTAAAATGTTTGTAAATTGTATAATTAAGTGTATAACACGTAGATATATATTTTTACATGTGTATATACAATTTTCTCTCGCTTTATACAAAACAGAAACAGAATTTATACACTTCTGTGTATAAAGCGAGAGAGGCGAGCGAGAATGAAGAGTGGCGAGCGAGATTTTTGGGAGAGAGACGCCTGACAAACTTTAGCTAACGTTTGCTATGGAGCACAATTAAATCAAACCCTAGCTACTCCATTTATTTTAGATTATTAGTTTGCTATTATATACAATTTCCCCTTCTTTTAACAAAACTCTATATGTGGGCTATAAAAGTTAAAATCGTCATTTTAACGGTTACGCGTTCAATATTGAAAAGGCTTTTTAGACTTTAGTAACATGTGGTCCTTCCTAATTTACTCCTTTTTTTTTCTTAAGTTTTTTTCTAGATAATTATTTTAGATAAATTATAATTTTTTAAGCACGAGTGCATGTATCTAAAAATATTTTAATAAAAAATACGGACTATGATAATTTACCTGCCTATTAAATCAAAATTGCTTTCAAGATAGTATTTTATCAGTAAAGGGGCATTGCAGACGTAATTATTAATTTAATAAAAGTGTATTCTGTTTAACATATGAAACAGTTTGATAATTTTTAATATTATTTTAAACGAAGGTATAGGATAAGGGAAAAAAAAGTTATTAAACATGAACATTAGAATTTTCTACTTTTGTGTTTTTGCTATTAGGATGAAATTGTTAGATTTCTATAGTTGAAGTCTTCCTGAGTTCTCAAACCAAGGAAGAAGCAGAATGTAGGAAGAAAAAGAAAACTGAAATGTTATTCTCTTATCTGTGATGCTCACAAGATACATGATATGAGAAATATATATACACGTTTTTTACATCACACTTTCTAGAAGATTCTCTAACAATATATGTAACTGCATAACTAACTTTTAACTACTTTTTAACAAACTTAGTTAAGCCTAACTCAACTACAATTACATCAGCTTGCTCCTTTAGTTCAACACTCCCCCTCAAGCTGATGGCTTGAATATATCTTTTAGGCCTATCTTCCTTAGCAAGTATTCATGTTGAGCTCTTCCTAGTCCTTTAGTAAGTATATCTGCCAATTGTTCTTCAGTAGACACATGATCAGTTTCAATCATCCCTTTGCAAACCTTTTCTCTTACAAAGTGACAATCAATGTCAATATGTTTGGTTCTCTAATGAAATATGGGATTTGTAGCTATTTGAATAGCTGCCTTACTATCACATCTTAAGGTTATAGGTTGTTGAATTTGAACTCCAAGTTCACTGAACAATCCTACCAACCACGTAAGTTCTGCAGTGCAAGCTGCCATACTTCTGAATTCTGCCTCAGCAGAACTTCTAGACACAGTTTCTTGCTTCTTAGATTTCCAGGAAATCACTGCTCCACCAAACTTAACTAAATACCCTGTGACAGACCTTCTTGTCTCCACGCATGCTCCCCAGTCTGAATCACAATAGGCCATAAGTTGATTTGTAGTACCAGCAGGCATCATCAGTCCCATTCCTGGTGTCCCCTTAATGTATCTCACTACTCTTAGAGCAGCTTCCATGTGAGATCTTTTTGGACAATGCATATATTGGCTTAAGACCTGTACAACAAATGCAATATCAGGTCTTGTCATGGTCAAATATAGAAGTTTTCCCACTAGTTTTTGATATGATGCATGATTTTCCAATACTTCATCACCAATTTCAGCTTTGCTTGATACATGTTTATCATATTCTGCAGAAGTTAGCTTTTGATTTATCTCAAATGGTGTACTTGCTGGTTTTGCTCCACTCATTCCAGTTTCAGCAACCAATTCTAATGCATATTTTCTTTGACACATTACAATACCTTCATTTGATCTGGCTACTTCAATTCCCAGGAAGAATTTAAGTTCTCCAAGATCTTTCATCTTGAAGCTATGCTGTAAATCCTTCCTTGCTTTGTTTATCAATGTCTGACTATTTCCAGTTACTATCAAATCATCCACATATACCAGAATTATTACTAACTCTTTTCCTGCCCTTTTGATGAACAAAGAATAATCATAATGACTTTGTCTAAATCCCATTTGAATAAGAGCATCGGTCAGTTTTTTGTTCCACTGCCTTGGAGCTTGTTTCAACCCATATAAAGACTTATGAAGTTTGCAGACCTTGTGAGACTCCCCCTGTCTTGCAAACCCCTCAGGAATAGTCATATATACTTCCTCTAGTAAGTCACCATTTAGAAAAGCATTATGTACATCCATTTGATAGATATACCACATATTAGAGGCTGCAAGAGCAATCAGAGATCTGACAGTCACCATTTTTGCAACTGGTGAAAAAGTCTCAAAGTAATCCATCCCAGCTTGTTGGCTATAGCCCTTGGCCACTAGCCTGGCTTTATATCTTTCCACCTCTCCAGAAGCTTTGTACTTAACTTTATATATCCATCTACAACCAATAGGTGTTTTACCACTTTGAAGATCAACAATAGACCATGTCTGATTTGATTCTAAGGCTGCAATTTCCAATTTCATAGCATGGACCCAGTCTGGATCCTTTGAAGCTTGTTGAAAAGAACCAGGTTCTGTAATAGAAGAGTAAATTGACAAAGCATAATGATAGGACTTGGATATATTAGAGTATGTGAGAAAGGATGAAATAGGATAAGCACATTGATTGACAGAAGAAGGAACAACAAAGTCAGTCATCCATGTAGGAGGATGTCTTACCCTGGTAGATTTCCTAAGATTAACAGGAGGGGATAAAGAAGTTAGAGGAAGTGAGGTGAGCTGAACAGATTCAGTGACATCTAGATTAGGCTGTGAGATAGGTTCAGTAATAGGAGGATTCATAGATTGATTGGATTCAGTAGTAATGAAGATAGGAGAATCTTGAAGAATATTTGACACATCAAGTACAGGGAAAAGAGGAGAACCATAAGATTTTGCATGTATGAAAGGAAACACTGACTCTTGAAACACTACATTTCTGCTAACATAAAAACTATTGGAATGAAGATCATAGAGTTTATAACCTTTTTGAGTAGATGAATAGCCCATGAATACCCCTGGAACAGCTTTTGCCTTGAATTTATCAGATGATGGTGTAGATGAGGCATAAGTGAGACAGCCAAAAACTCTCAGATGAGAGAAAGAAGGAGGATGACTATGTAAAATTTCAAAAGGTGTTTTGAAGTTTAGTAGCTTGGAAGGAAGTCTATTGATAATATATACAGCAGTCATAACACATTCACCCCAAAATTTCAAAGGTACAGCAGCTTAGAACCTAAGAGATCTTGCTACACCAAGAATTGTTCTATGTTTTCTTTCTACAACTCCATTTTGTTGAGGAGTGTAAACACAAGAACTTTGATGTAGTATGCCATAATCAGACACCAATGACTGAAATTCAGAACTAAAGAATTCACAGCC